TGCAACTTATCTATATAATTTTTTAACATAATCTATTATTAAAATTAATTTACTAGGCTTTTACTATTATAGGTAGAAAAGATATGGCTGGTAAAAGTTTCACGGTTGAAATTTATCTGAATTTACTCGTTATGTTATTTGATTAACTATATATATTTATAACAATTTGACAATAATATTTCAACAATATATAAAGATAAACAGCAAATAATATATCAAACAATATATAAATAAATGTAATATTTTTAATAATACGTTTAATTTTTGAAGTAGTAAGTTTACCAGAAACAAGAAAATGGTGTTGCTAAGAAAATAGGTTTATACTTCCTTTTTTATTATTTTTAGTTCTATAAATTAATATTCTTGTTTATTGCATAAATTATGTTATTTGCAATTTACGCTTTTAAAATTTTTTTTTTTTTTTTTAAATCAGTGTAATATTTACATATTGACGACGAAAATTATACATAATGTTTATAAAAGATATTTGAATATGGATTGATATATGAATTATAATTTACAGTAATATTATTTTAAACATATACAAAAATAATGAGAAAACCAATATAAATATCTAAATATATTAATAAATGAATAAAAAAAAAAGTATGCATGTATGAAGATAATTACTTTAAAATATGTAAGTAATATATTCATTATATATTGATTTATTCATTTAATTTAATAATAATATCAATTGATACTGTTTAATATATACGATTTTTAATTTAGAAATATACAATGGTTATGAAATATTATTTTGGAAAATATTATTTACAGAATTTAAATATTCTTCCGTCTCAATCACATTTCATTTTTTCATACTAAGTAGTGATAATGAAATTAGTCACTGACTGAAATTATATACTGTCAAACTGACAAATTCATTCACAAGGAAAAATGCTATTAATAATAACGGATCTCCCTGTTAAATCAAGATTTATATTTAATTGCTAAGGAATTATGTTTCTGACACGAAGAGAAATGCGACGATATTGTATAATGAAGTAAGTGCAACAAGGGAAACGATAATCTTTTAGAAATCGTTGCGATTTTCTTGTACTCGAAAACTCGACTAGTGAAAGAGAAAAGCGGTAAGTCTATACGTGAGCGCGCCGTTGTCGACTAATACAATGAAGAGATAAAGAAAAGAGGGACATTAAGGGCATGGAATGTAGGACAGAAGATTAAGAGCATTTTTCGATAGGCAAGCACGTCGCCATAAATTTCAATTAGAATCGGACAATAACGGCGTTGCTGGTGGTTTAGGCGCACTGATTGCCGTTTACTCATCTACCCCCCCCCCCCCCCCCACCCCCCCCCCCCCCCCCCCCCCCCCACGATCTCGGTACACTCGGAAGCATCTACCAAAGTCTGTAGGGTCCATGTCTCGTCGAATCAAGGGATTCCCACCAGAGTTGCGACTCTTTCTGAAAACTTTCAGAAGAGGTGTTGGGGGGAGGGGGGGGAGAAGTACTGGCCAGGTGTCGAAGGAGCCACTCGATTGACGAGAAAAACTTGCGCTCGTCACTATGGGAGTGCCGAGAGATTCGAGACATAAACCTCAACTTCATAGCTTTTTACGAGGCCAACAGTTGCTACTTGGTAAACAATCCAATATTACTAAGCGCTGATTCTCGTAACGTAGCATTAGAGAGAGAAAAAAATTTATTATGATGTTATAAAATCGGTAGTAAATTTTTCATTTAAAAGAAGTTGGATAAAAAATATTTAATTATGTCTATTATTAAATCGAGTATAAAAAACATTACTTAATTATATTATGCCGATACTTGAAAAATTATTCAATTCACTGTAAGTCAACAAATATGAAATAATTTATTTTTCAAAATTAATAAATATTCCACTAGAAATAACATTGTTCAAGTATTGTTATGAAGTTACCAAGTGTCTGATATGTCGTCATATTATTTAATGATCAATTAATTTATTTTTTATGACCTTTTGTTTTTTAATTTGTATTCGCTTAAATTGAAAATCATTACATTATTATTCAACTAGAACTAAAAAAAATTGGAATTAATATGCACATTTGTGGTGTTTACGGTGCTAAATATATAATTCGCTAAACAAATGTGAAATTGATTCAGAGATGGATAGATAAAAAGAGAAAGAGAGAGAGAGAGAGAGAGAGAGAGAGAGAGAGAGAGAGAGATTGATGAGAGATTGATTTTCCTAAATGTTAAGGAGCAAAAATCATATGTAGAAGGATATACAAAAATGAAGTGACATTATTTTCATAAAGTGTATAATATTTCACATGAAAGGATAGAATGGATCGTATTGAACAAGGATTTCGTAGTCGAATTACCGAAGGTCTATGAGTTTCAAGCATACGATTTCTTATACTTGAAATAGTATAGAATAACTTTAATACTTTAACTCTTATCAAATTCAGAGCTTTTAACATCCGTCTCAGATCTACTGTTGTCTCACACCGACACACAAGCGAATTGGTACTTGGCAATCAATATTGATCATTTGAAGAAGTAACAAATTATGAAAATGCACGATATACGCTTTCTTTCTATTATCTAGTTTTCTAATCAATAAAAAACTCAGTAAAGTACAATTATTTTTTCTAAATGTATTTGTCTTAAATATTTATATTTAAATGTCGTAATAAGAAAAACCTCATTTTTTTAAGGCGATAGAATTTTTTTCAGAAGTTTTTAGTAAAGTTTACTAGAGGGTTTACGTATGAATTTACTGTATAGCAACTATTAAATAATCTTTCATATAAGGTAGTCGCAAAATTTCTAACAAATTTTATCGAACAAAACAAATTAGGCAATTCAATTGCTCTATGATATAATTCAGGTTTCTTAACAAAAACAGTATTACAAAAATGGGTTATTTCAATATTCTGTTTTCAATTAAAAACTTTGTAAGTTGTTTTATCTGACATTTTTTCAGTTCAGAATTTATTTTTATAGAATGTATTTGATAACGAAAATAGTAAACAATTTAAAATGTACGTTTACGGAGTAATATGTCATTTATAATGTTAAAATTCAATTTTAAAGAAAAATGTTTAATTAAAAAAGTTTATTTTAATAATAATATAACAATAATTAATACATACATACATACATATATATATATATATATATATATATATATATATATATATATATGCATTTAATTTATTTTTGTTTAATTAATTTATGTGAACAATTTCATTAAATAAATAATCAATTTAATTTAGAAAGCACATAAAATCGGAATTTCAATGTATTTATAATTCAAATTATTTAAAAAATTCTAATAAATGAATGGGAAGTAATTATAAGACAAAGTTCACACAATTAATTTAAAATTGCTGCAACAGTATTTATGCACGTATGTGCAGCGATATCGTTGTTGTTAAACGATTGTTTTTAAATAAACTATTTCTCCGCTAGTTCTCCTTCTTGAGTAACTAAGATTTTAAATTACATGGATTATAACGACATTTGAAAACACAATAAATTTACTAATAATTAGTTTTTACTATTTAAACGTATTTAAGATATGGCAATTAAAATAGAGTGAAATGGAGAAACAAAGACTTCAAGTGATAAATGATTTCATTTACGGAAAATTATTGCAATCTTATCATCCTTTCTTTTTCTTCAATTCACGAGGTTTGAACTTTTCAAATTTTTTTATACTTATATAGTAGTTTTACATTTACTTAAAATGGTTACACAAGGTATGCATTTGTATTTAGTGATTTTCAATGGTGCTATGGTATAGTGGTGCTTCTACAATTTTATAAGATCAACAAATTTTCAAAACTTACGAAACCTTTATTGACACTTCTAAATACCAGTATATCATGATTTTTCTATAACAAACTGATAATTCAATAGCAATTGAATAATAAGTTTAAAAGAGCAATATGTTTATAAGTTGAAAAATGTGATATATTATATAATTTTAGTATAATTCGTTTTCTTTATATTTTATATTAAAACTAAAAGATAAAAGATTTACGTAGAGAAACGTTTATATCAATTTATACGTATTTTCAACCGGTATTTTTAGGCATATAACATAATAAAATATAAATTATAAATTTATAAACTAAATTCTTATATAAATGATATTAAGATTTTTCATTTAAAAATAACTATTTTACTTACAAATGTATATAGTTCAATTATTTCAATATCAAAAATTCTTTCAAGTCATTTAATACATTTAATACACGATAAATTTATGTAAAAAGATGAGAAAAGCTTATATGTAAAATTGATAAGATTATTCATTATAATTGTATTAATGTTATTGTACTTTATGTATTTAATTATTGTGTCTATTTTACATTGCATGTCCTCATGTTCATTAATTTCTATTATTCATAAACAAACTTTTCAGCTATACACAGACATATTCATGCACTTCCATGTTTAGTATTATTAAATTTAAAAAATATAAAAAAGTCTAATATCACTTGTTTCGCAAATACTACAATGTAGTGTAGATATACGAAAAATATTCAAGAAGGAAAGCTTAGAGCATTTTATATAGGGGCACTACTTCCAATAGTATTTAGATACATTGTATAATTAAAAACACGACCTGAATCATCAGCAATTATATGATCTAATACATGTAGCTGAATCCTGTAAAATCAATAATGCACAATTAATATCACTAGCCACTTTAAGCATACTGTTAAACAGGAACAGGTAATGTTTTTTAAAGTTATTGTCACCATTCTTTAAGATTGTAGACAATTTTACGTGCGTATACATATATGCATACATGCATACATACATACATACATATATATATATATATATATATATATGTATGTATATAATTTTATGAATTTTAAGCGAAGTAATATGAGTAATATAATTTCGAGTCGGTAATTCAGTAGTGATATTAGTTTTTTGTCCTGGTATTACTTAATTACTGTCTTTCCTCATTGAAAAACAATAATGTCTTCTCAACTACAAGCATTGAGATACAAGCAACCTAAGACTTACGGGAGTCGTGAGGTGGATACATTGGAGCGGGAAAACGACCCCTAATCATCGGTCCCATAATCGGTGGCACCATTCGGGGCCCAAACATCATCGGCCTTCCAATTGGCGGCATCGGTGGTCCCGTCAGCATTGGCCTTGGAACGTAACCCTTGGAAATTTATTTATTTAAATAGCTTTGGGATTTGGTTTTCGGATTAAAATGTTTTGCGGGCTTATTATTAGGTTGCGGTCGTCCTCGTGACGACGTGATCATTTCGGGCCGGAAAATTCGGATAATTTGGAGCATCGTTCGTGAATTTGTCATTTGTTAACATTAGCGTAGCTTTAAGGTTGGCACTTGGCTTTTTAAGGTTCTTTTTCCATATACAAATTGTCTAAAAGAAATTACCCAATAATGGCCGGGGAATGGCATTCGCTCGAAATAAGTTGGAGAAAGCCGACGCTCCCTCGAAGAATCCCGTCTTTCTCGCCGATCATGCGAACGACCTTTCCTTCTCTCTCGAGACTCTCTATACTCTTTTGTACTGCAATCAAGTTTCAAATCATTCGAGTTATATAAATTAATTAGAAAATCACATCAGACGATTTTTTACCAATGGACATTTGATTTAGATTTGTAATCTTCGGATGATGTGCGCCTCCTCGTTTCGCGGCTCATACTTTTTCGGGTATCGGAGTGGCGCCTTAAACAATAAAGTTATCTCCAAAATTCACATTTGACTTTGATTTCGTTTCAATGATTCAGCTTTTGAAGGTCAGCCAAAATTAATGATAATATTTACAAATAATATCCTGTTACAGACCTTGACTCAAGTGCGCCTGACCGTGAGCTTGTGCGCTTGCCGGGACTAGGACTGCGTCGTCTTCGAGAACTCG